GTTGTTTAGCCTTAAAAACGCTCCTGCTCCAGTGTTTTTCAGGAGCCTTCAATGAAGTGAAGTCTATGGGGCAAAAAGTAGTTCATGCATGAAAAATCATATGTAAACAGGTACAATTTAAAAGCATGGGATTTTGGTTGGTGAGTGTTCTGGAGCTTAGAGCTTCAAGCTACAAAACTCTCAGGTCTAAATCAGGGATAAGGCCCCATTCACACCTAAGACTTTTATTCCTTAAATGCCCAAGCGCTACAATCCTCACCATGAGGAATCCCATTGTTTTCAATGTTCACATCTGAAGATTCTGTTGCTTGTAGCAAAACACATAGCTCAAAAAGTACATGAGTCAAGCAGAGTCAAGCATTTTGGCCTCAATAGATTTTGCCTATAAAACTGAAAACAATGACCAAAGACCCTCAGTGTGAATGGGGCCTAAAGGGCCACTAGGAAGGCTTGGAGAGCAGGAGGAGCTGGGAACATGCTTGGCTTGACTTTTGACAGGAAACTTTGGATTATTATATATATATATATATATGTATATATATATATATATTCAGCTTCCTTTATCTCTTTTTATTGTGCATGACATGAGAATAATGCATTATTTCATCATATATGCTCATTTTAACAGGTTTCAGGTTAAGCATAAGTCCACAGCTTAAATGTGGGTTTTGGGTGGATTGACCATTTAAAAGTTTTATGATAGTAGGCTGTAAGACTTCTCAAATTGATTAGCACAAATAGCATAATATGTAAAGTGCAAAAACTCAGGACAACCCATCAATTTTATTTGTCTTAAAGATAGATCGGTGAAGGACTGATTCTAATTGGTTGGAGCTGAACATTGGTATTCTTCTATAGGCCTATAGATCTATTTAATTTTTGTTTTTTAAGTGCCACGAACAGGGATATTAGAAAGGAACTCCACAGGTAAACGTTTCTGCTTTTCATTGCAATATAGTGGGGAAATGTTCAAGCCTCTGTCTGGTTTCTGCTCGTGTCCACACTGGGAAGATTCTTTGTGTGGTCACTGGCACAGGAAGTAAGGATATAGCATTTTTAGTACATACGAAAAATTGCAGAAGCCCCTGTCAGAGTTTCACAAAAGGGTGAAGAGTTTGAAAAAGGCTGGAGAAGTGAACAATCTAGGCCAAATAGCTGGATTGGAAAAATTGTCCAATTCAGTTCAGCTATGTTGTCCTAAATTGTTCACTTCTCCTGCCTTCTCCAAACTTTTCACCCTTTAGTGAATAACCCTGTAAAAGTTTGTTAGGGAGTTTTCCCCACAACTGCTGGGTAATCATTGGAGCAGAAAGTAAGAGGAGTTCCACTTTAAGGCTGATGGGCATTGTTACTGCAGATTGAAAAGAACTACCAACAATAGCAGCAAACAGCAAGGAAAATCTGCAGTGCAGTAAGAATTCCAGCACTTGTGATGCACTGAGCAACTTTGCACTCTATTACTTAATAAGGTGGAAATAACAACAGACATATCACGTATGATGAGTGCACCCAACATTGGAACACAAGTAAATAAACTGGTATAGGACATCTACTTTATTGTTTTCATTTTTTTTTACACAGGGAAACAGGTGAGTGTGCACTGATTTCTTAACATCACATCAGGTTCGGAACTATGAGCTCTTTGGCTATTAAAGGGCTGCTTGACAGTGGTCATACAATGGCTTCATCTTGTCCCTAACTTATTGCTACATGTCAGTCTATTGACTACAATTAGTTTTATAGCAGCTAACAGAGTCAGTACATGTTAAGTGCACATCATTTACTTTTCATACATTTAGTGGTAATGCCACAATTCCAGCCCTCCCTCAGCTCATTTCCACTGATAAAAGCAGCTGCGATGGCTGGGAGGTGATGTACCGATACATAAATGTCAGTTATGGAGACAAAGAAATACATATGCATCATAGGAAGAATTGCATAGTCTTCAGGAAGAATTCAACTCTCAAATAAATAAGACGATTGTCAAAATACACAAGCCTCTTCTGCAGACAACAAATAATTTGTGCAAGTAGTTTCTAAAGTGGTTAATGTACCTCATTTTAGAATGATGGGACCTCAGCAGAGACATGTTTTAGGTCCTCTCCTGACATCAAAAGCATAAGGCAGAACTAGCTTTGCTGAATGGGCAAAGAATGGCATGGGGCAGATGGTAGGTGGCTGTGTGCTGGACAGAATTAAGATAAAGTCAGTTATCTTTCAGTGCACTCCAGACTATGGGAAAGTGTTTCCTGCTCCCTGTTTTTATAAATGTCAACTATTTTTTAAACAAAGTATATCATTTAGTAATACTGCACATAGACCATAAGCTTAGATCAGAAGTGCTTAAAATGTATGGAGCTAAATATCAGTTCACTATTTTATAGGGCTCACATCTGTCCCTTTTGTGTCTTTTTTTGTTTCTTTTTTTGGGGACCCCAAAAAGTGTTTTTGAAGAAAAAAAACTGTAGTATCCAATTAAACTACTACTATTGTTTACAACACTTGGAGGACTTGCCTCTCTTTGTATTAACAGTGCTTGCAGGGCATGCATCCATCCATGTCTGAAATAATACATTCACGGAATATCATTATTCCAGACTGTTTAATATACAATGTCAGGTTTAAAATCATGTAGCTGTAAGAGGGGAGATCCAGCTCTGTTACTACATGGTGGATCACAAGCTAATATATTTCCATAACCTACACTTAAAATGAGGAAACTTATCAACCTCTAATATAGTGGGGATACGTTTTTGTCACTCTTGGAGTGACCACATATTTTTTTATTGTGGCCTTTTAACCATGCCCCTGGTTCTCACTATGGACTGGTCAAGGATGCAATGTGGTTTGGGCAGTAGTGAACTACACCCTGTTTCAGTGCTTAGCAGGGATACCCACCACAATGATATCAAGAGTTCAAAAGAAGCTAACAGCAAGACTGCACCGCATACAGTAGGTGCTTGAAAAAGCTAATTTCAGGTTGGTTGGTTGGCATGGCCTATTCTATATCACCACCCTTTGTACCATGGTATTTCATCAATCCAAGACTTAAAGTAAACTTGCCACAAACAGGGATATTTTAATTCTAAGCATATGATAAAAATGCATAAACAAAGGTCACTTTAAGTGAACTGCATGTCCCAGCAATCAGTAGTTCGAGATCTAAGTAGTTGAAATTGTATTGGCCCCACCCCTCCTTTCTTATCAATCATCCTTATTGCTCACCCTAGCAGATTCACTGACCAATAGGAAGGCTTAGTTGGTGGAAGAGCCAGGAACAAGCTCTACTTTTACTGCAAAATAAATATATATAAATTCAGCTGCCCTTATCACTAAGTAAACTGATCATTCTGACATTCAGTTTTCACTGACGGCAAGCCGCATTTTTGTATTTTTTCATCATATACTCAGCATGTATTGCCCAGGTTTGGGACCAGTTCATTTAAACTGGCCATACGTAGGCATGCCTGATGTTAGCCACAAACAGAAGTCCGAGAACTGTACACACTATAGCCATGCTGTAGCTGAACTGATTTTTCCAAAATAATGGGAGATTTATGTGACTGATCTAAATTGTGTCATTGACCTTCTTATCTCATGTTCCTTAGAAAGGAACTCCACAAAGTGCAGATCAGGGGATTGGACGGAGCAAAATATAACATGTCAATTACACCTAGAACAACAATCTGCAGCGTAGGATTTCTACACAGACTTATATGGGTCAAATATACCATATGGGGAGACAGTAGAAAGGGATGCAAGTGCCTGCAAAGGACCCATTGCTTTGATTGCAAATTACCTAATGTATATTCATCACTGGCCACATAATGTAACATATATATATATATATATGGCTTTTGTAAGTTAATACACTCTATAGGCATTCCACACATGATTTGCATGTGTCACCTTCATGATTATGTTATGTGGCCTATTTTGTCTTTCTGAAACAAGTGATATATATAGATATTAATTGCGATAGCTACAGTACATATACAGTACTTGTCCTCCGCACTGGGAGGACACATTAAAACAAACTATAAAAAATCTAAAGTCTATAGTAGGCTTATGTAAGCTGTGACACTCCATCTGCAGCACAATTACCAGCATGTCCTGCTAATAACTGGCTGTAAGGGCATGCTGGGAGCAACTGGAGCACCACAAGCCAACTGCTTCGGGTCTGGTGAGTTTGTACCACAGAGAGTGTCTAAGTGGGACAAAACATATCTATGGCTAAATGGTTCAGTGTTGACACCCTGTGGTCCAAGTGGGAACTGCATAGGAATTTTTTACTACTATTGTACACACGTTCTCATTTTTCTCAGTCGTAAAACAGTCCGGTACAAGACATTTGTTTTTGTAGCGCAGTGATTACAATATGCATGAGCAGATTTAGTAACTGTAAATCAAGAACATATGCTGTTTCCCTGAAGTTATTGTTTAAAAAAAAAAGAAATTTCTGTCTAAAACGGAAACATCATATGAGCCAAGGTTGGAGCAGAGATTGCTAAAGAGCACAAGAGCCAATCATTAAATGCTGACTTTCATTCTCCACAGCATGAAAGAAGTGGCTTATTTAATCAGCAGCACAAACACCCCTCAAGCACTCTAGAACTAGTCTCTATCTTGCTTGTCTTCTGGTTATTTCATAGTCACAGTCTATTGAGCCATTTAACCCAATAAGAATCGAAAATGCCACAAGGTTATCCATTGCTTGAAGCAGACCCTGAGACACTGTTCTCTTACCACTGGCCAAAGTGTCCATTATTCAGGCCTAAGCCTGATGTTTTAAGACCTTCAGAAATCCACAAGTGTCTATTTTGCTGCTTGTGTCTTGGGAAAAGCAGGGTTCATGAGTTGCCAGAGTATTCCAGTTACTATATATTTCTGAGGGTAGAGTTTAGGATGAGCTGTAGGCAGCTGGTCAAGTCCTTGCCTGGTTGTCTAGGTGCAGGTTCAGGTTCCAGTGGATTAGTGAGATAATGTGAGAGAAGAGGAACCTCCTCAATAAGGGGAAAAAAGTATAGTGCCATGTGCAGTTCTGATGGGCCCAGGAGCTGGTCGAAGCATATGGTGTGTCAAGTGTGGAGCTTGAAGAAGCGGAGGAGTTGCACCTGGACGTAAATTTAGAGGAGAAGACACAGCAGCAGCTGCCATCGCAACTGCAAGTGGACTGGGAAGAAGTCCTGCAGAAAGGTTTTTTGAAAGGTCCTTCGAAAACACCAGACTTGCCTGTCAAGAAATGAGAACAGTTATTAGTGTAACTTCTGAATGATATTGAGAATTCTCATTTAAGTAATCTCCACTATAAGCTTCAGTGAAACCTTGGCATATATAAGACATTAAATACCTTATGGGACTGTTAGAGCTAAACTCCAGGGATATATAAGGACACAAATGAATGCAGATTCCGATTTATTAATACCTTTTTAAATGTATTTTTTTAATGCAAGCAGTGTAAGTACCCAAATTGACTTAGGGGGTTATTCCATAGGAGCCGAAGGATCCAGCCGTAGCTTCGGCTGATCCTTTGGCTCTCTATGGCCGCTGGAGCCCTTCGGTTCAGTATTCACTATAGCCCGTACAGCAGCCGAAGGCGGCCCGGCCGAGCCGAAGCCATATGCTTCGACTTGACTGAGCCGAAGTGATAGCCGAAGCATGGCAGACGGTTTGTCGAAGGCCGGCCATAAACCATGCAAATGACCACTGGGCGGAGCCATCCGTGATCTCACGGCTAGCTCCGCCCAGTTGTAATGACAGATCAGCATCCCCAAATGACCTGGGGATGCTGAACTGTCATTAAACAATAATAACTGGGCGGAGCCGGCCGAGACATTTATTGCTATTCTGCCCACGGAGGTACCGAACAGAATAGCCGAGCCGAATGCCGCTCAGTGGCATTCGGCTCTTCACCCACTGCCGTTTAGCCCCAATGTGAATAGGGGCAGACAGCAGCGAGTGTGCTGCCGGAGCTTCGGCACAGCTGATCCAGATGTTAGATTGGCTGAGTCAAAGTCCTTCTGCACTTCGGACCGAAGTGCAGACGGTGTACGGCTGATTTCAGCCGAAGTACTGCTGAAATCAGCCGTACTGAGCCGTAGTGAATAGCCGACCGTTAGTCCCTATACACCAGAGCTCATCCTGGGGGGAGTAGTGCAGTGCAAGGGCATGCTAATAGGAGGGGAGAGCAGACTAACATAGTGATGAGCTCATCAGTCTGCAGCTTCTCTTTTTTATTTTACTGTCCAGTCACAGGGTGGGGTGGGGAAGAGACCTGTAAGTAAAAAATGAAAGTGCCGGTTTCTTCTCCTGCTAGGAGACTATGCTGTATGGCAGAAATACAAATCATTCTGTCAGGTAAAAGAGCTCTCATATAGGTATTTCATCTATGCATTTTTCTGTTTGCCTGTTTGCAAAGTAACATTTGCATTATTTCAAAATTACCTTATTTTTTTTCATAAAATGGTACATTGTCTCAGTTTAAACATGTGATATATTTTCTAATGTCTACTGTGAATAAAATCTGGATCTATGAGATTTCCAGATCATTGCATTCTGTTTTTATGTAGATTTTACACAGCGCTCCAACTTTTTGGGAATTAGGGTTGTATTTTTTAGGTAGGTATCAGTTCTATCTCTCAGTTGCTTGCCTTTTTTGATAAGCACATTTGATTGATTTAGTCACAAGACAGAGTCTATTGTACATCAATATACAGTTACAATTTTTTTGGACAGTGCACAATCAAGCAATTGACAAAGGGCCTTTTCTCAGCTGATGAATGCGGCACCTGCTGCAGTGATGTGTGATTGTCAGCCACTCCTAACTGCCTGCACTCACAACAAACATCTCCACTGGAAATAAACATCGCTAAGTGGTTTTCAAGCAATTAAAAGTAATTTAATCATTATATTTGATGTAATAACCCTTCACAAAGATTTATTTAACCATTTAGGATGCATCTCAGATGTTTTCTGAATGTTTTTAAACTGCTTATCAAAAGCTTTGATAAGGCTATAGGTGCTAAACCGATAAAGCTGTTCTATATGAGGCCATGACAAGAGCGGTAAAGACATGCATAAGGGCCAGAGACAGAATAATGGGGGTTGATTTTCTCAACAGGATACCAGAATGTTAAAAGAAGTCTCCAATACCAACCGTAAGTTCCTGAAGGGTTTGTTGTTTCTTGTGCCGGCTCAGTAGCGGGTTGGGTTTCCCTGACACTCCATCACGATGTCTGCGGCTTGAGATGTGCTGATACAGAAACACAAACATATTATGTAGTTTATACTGTATATGTATGCTGTAAAAATCCCAGCCTTGTATTGGCCGCTATTCTCTCATTTTAAATGGCGAGTAAGATATGGTATATAAGACTTGTCAAGTCTGTGAAGCAACATGCAATTTACAAACTACAATTATTACATTTTCTGATCTCCATATCAACTTGCATATTCCTATTCCCAGTCATGTTCTAGTGTCCCCTCACCAAATACTAAATAAAACATATGGAAAAGGGTAATTATGTTCTTCTGGAAAGCAGGGATTCTTCAAAGAATAATTGTCATTCAAAGCTGGAGACTATCCAGTGTCTTAAATAACACTTTCAATGGGTTTAATGAGTTTGGAATAAATGGCTCTCTAATATTAGGCAACAGTGTTCTTGGAGGATTCTTGTATTCTGTTGGGGGCCTGCTTGCCATGAGCTGTATGGTTGTACTGTCTCAATGGGTTTAATCAAAACAGAAAAGCGCTAACCATAGGAAGTTACTAGGAAAACATCTACATGTTATGGTTAGTAACTAAAATATTAGCATGTCTTTATTAGCTAAACTTCCAAATTGTCCTTACTTAGTGGCAATTTTTGGGTGTGTATATATGTTCATATTTATATAAAAAATATACATGTAACAACAATCTGGAAGTTTAGCTAATAAAGACATGCTACTATTTTAATATTAATATCTTATTTAATTTTTTTTTTAGTTCCTTTAGTCACCAAATATTTTTTTCCGGTCAGCTAGTGCAATGCACTGAAACTTTCTTTAAATCACCATTACTAAAAAAAAGATCCCTTATTTGAATTTATTTTAACTAAAAGTTAAAAGGCTTGCACTGAGGATGTCTTCTCTTTTAGCTTATATTCAGGAAGGGAGGTACTGTGGTGGGCTTGAGAGAGAGAGAGAGAGAGACCATAGGCTACGAACCACCTGTATTGTGATATTCACTGGTTGTCCAGAGGCAGTAGGAGGGATAGTGGCATTGAGTCAGCAGAAATTAAGCTCTGAAAATTGTTGTTATCCTTAGCAAACTATACATGCAGCACAGAGCAGTGGGTTTGTCACTGAAGTTTAGCACATTGCTGCGTAGTATTTTTTTAAACATTCTATAAGAAACAACTATTGCCAATCCAATCATTTAGGTTTTAATTGAATATTTTTATTGCACGTTCCCTGTATAATTCTTGTAATTCAAAGATTCTATGAGATTCTAATAGCCAAAGAGACCTATATATGACTTTACAAAAGCAATAGCTCTTATGTCCGGTAAGACGTGGCCCAAGTCCTTAAGTTATTTAGGCTCATCATTAGTTCACAGTATAAAGGAATAAAGACATAGTAATAAATACAGCCTGTATACCTGCTTAAGCTGGCCTTCTGAACTGACCCTGACATTACAGATCTCACAGTGAAAAGTCCTCTCTTGGGTGTTGGAATCCACCGTTCCTGTTGACCCACTGTTTAACCCTCCAAGCCGAGGATAGGCCTTTATTGGGCCCAGACCACTTCGAGCTTCAAGGATAGTTTTGTGCTTAGTACCTTTATTTAAAGAAATAATTGCAACATTAAATTATATCATGCTTCCTTGCAAGTTAGAAGACTGTTGAGATGACAGAAAATGACTTTCGATGGCTTCTGTTACACCTGAGCGGTGTCATCAGTCACATGAAGCTCAAAGAAGTACATTAGCTTTTAATGTGGCAGAATCGTGTGTTTTGGCCTCATAGACTTTATTGAGAGAGCCTGAAAAAAATGCATAGTTACACACATTTTGTAGGCACTCCCAGTCTATGGGGGTCAAAAATGCACAATTCTGCTCCTGTATTACAAGTTGCACATAAAAACACTTGATAAAAGCACATAGACATGCACAGAAAAAACACATCTATATCGCCCTGCTACGATGATGCTAAGCTGTGAATGGAACACTTAATGTACAGTTTTTCACTGTCATGCTTACCATAGTTTACTACACAGTTCCAAATGGTCCCTGGTTTGAAAGGACAGCTCATCTTTTGGGCACCGATTTTTCTGTCCTAATTTAGCCCCAAACAGTCACTCTTTTAGGTATGATATCAAAGAGCAGGTGTGTATGGACTAAGAACTGAGGTAGATTCATGTTAGAGTTTGAATGTATAGAGGATAATGGGTCATTCCCACTCATCTGCTTTATATTCTTAAGTTTGCTTGAAATATAGGTGGATTTAGTTAAAAAACATCTCTAAGCTAACCCAACTTCTTTTTTATGACCTTTATGTTATTTTGTCATAATTTTTGTTGTGAATTCTCTGAAATACCACTGTGTTAATGTAAATTATGTTTTATTTGAACACAGAGTATGGATCTTTCTTTCTATAAGATATGACGTTTGACCAGGGGAATGTTGAAGATGGCAACACATGTTGCAGACTGTACAACCACATCTATGTAGTGTGAGGAACTACCTGACTAATGTTAGGTTAAAGAGCAACTAAAGTTTACTGTCTTCCTCAGACATCTTGATTGGCCAGCCAGAGATTATGTAACCTCCATCATCAACACTAGAGTTAATTCATTCTTGCATGAAGGCATGCCAAGATTGTACACTATGTTGAGCATGCCCAGCATGTATAATCTAAAGAAGTTTGCTAGCAGGCAGGTAAGAGGCTTTAATTGCAGTTGGCACACAGTATTTCTCTTCTGCAATAAAACCCCTTCCTGCTAGCATTGTTTTATAATTTAATATAAAGTGCTACTTTAAATAAATGGTTTCAGTTGGTCCTCACGCTGCATAGCTGTTGGTAAATCTTAACTAGGCTACACACAGTTACATCTTATGTTTCTATTTTTCTCCCTATTAGATATTCGGGAAGTATGTTTGTTTGCCTTTGTTATATGTGCATGGAACTTGCAAGGATAGTTATAGTTTTTCAGACTCTTGGCCTTACCTTTGTTGTGGGCCTCCAGTTGTGATAGTGAGTTTACAGAAACTTTGCAGAGGGCACAGTACAGTAATTTCTTTGCTTTATCATCGTCACCCTCTGTAGTTGATGTGCTTGTTCCGCTGCTGGCAGGATCAGAAAAGGAAAGAGGTTTTGCTTCTCCCATTTCCTCAGATGTGGATTCCAGGAATCCAGATATGGCAGGGACAACGGTTTGATGGGTGATCATTGTCTCTGGAATCTCAGATGAACACAGGTCTGTGCTGTCAATTCCCTGATGATCTGGTGTCAGAAATAAAATGCAACATGTTCATAATTTTATTAATTTTTTTTGCTTGCGTTAGGTTAAATAGGAAGTATTGAAAATTAATAGCTCACATTTTCAGCCAGGAGGTGGAGCACTTGACTCCTTTTCACATGATTACCTGCCTAACATTTACTGCTTTACTGAAAAAGCCTGTTTACATAGCAGAAGCTGAAATACACACATGAATGAATCAGCGGAATTACCTATCTATCCCATTTTCCCCCAACTCCCCTTTTCTCCTTCTGTATCTCTCCATATACAGTTTCACAGATATTATATTTGTAAAATAGACATTTTATTTAAATAATAAAAACTATACAAAACTTATAAGGTAAAACTGACTCAAAACGTTTGTGAATGATCTCTTTTATCCAGGTCATGATATAACTAGCAGTAGTTGGTAACATTCAGTTGGTTCTGTAATGTTGAAGACAATTTGCAGTTTATCCAAGCCACTTCTGATAAGTGTGCTCCCCCATGCAAATAGGAGAGGCCCGTTTTCATAGTAGCTGGCTCTGACCCACCCCTCCAGGGCCCAACTATTGTCTCATTACTTCGATGGGCAGCCTCGCTAGAAGTTGGTCAATATTTGCACAGAGCAGCTCTGCAAAGCATTAGGAGAACTGTACAGGGACCTGGAGATGCCTCCTCTGCAATAGAAGCCACATATTACTCGATGCTCCCTAACCACAGGTTCTCTTTAAAGTCCAATCTAAACATTGTTTATGCTTTTGGCCTAACTGCATAACAAGTAAAAAAAAAAAGAAGGCTTCAATTGGGCTTTAAATAAGGACACAGCACCTAGGCTTCAAGTATCAAACCTAATTTAAAAGAGAAAAAATGATATTGGTCATAGGAAACAGATTTCGAACAATCACCAGAAACCAATACAGTAAACTCCCCATTATCCGGCATTCAAGCAACCGGCAAGAAAAAAAATCAGGGAAAATAATATGTCCTTGATTATTCTTTTTGTTGGTGGCTTGATGCACAGTAAAAAAATGTCGGTTGTTTGGTCCACAGTACACTAAGACATTTCTTACGGAACTAAATTTATTTAGTAACTAAATTCTTTGTTTAAATCTTGCTGCTGGCTGGCTACTAGATTAAGCGGACGGCCGCTGAATGTAAACACTGGGGAGAAGTAGCCAGCCTGCTATTGGCTATTTTAAGTGCAACAACCAATATCAGGCTGGCTATTGAAACTCCGCCTGCCAAGCAAAGGCACAGACCTGAGAGAGAACTTTCTCAATCAAGTCGGCTCCTCTGCTCATTGGGTGGGGTTTAAATGGCCAGCTTGCTATTGCTTACATTTACCTGTTGGCTGAGGAAGCTAGCCGGCAGGTGAATGGGGCGGAGGGGTGGTTGCTTGAGAGTCACTATTATCGCTCAAGGAACCAGAAACTACAGTTATATGGCACCTACCGATCCCTGTGGGTGCCGGATAACTGGGAGTTTTCTGTATTCTTTTAGACACAAGTAATGCTAAATTGAGATTATTTGCTTATATTACTGAAATAATAACATTTGAAAACACTGTTAAAAGAGTTTATGTGCTTTTTCTCCAATGCACATCAGACATCCTGTCCACAAGCCATGAATGCCTCTATAAAATGCCAAACAATGCCAAAGACCTGCATTGGACCATACCACAATCACAAATATTGTACTTGTACATGTTAACACACTCATCATTTGTCACTCATCATTTGTATCATGTATCCTTGCTGCTGAGGCCCCTTATTGACAGTAAATGTAACATTTTCCTGGTAAAGAAGGGACAGTAAAATGATAAATGAGGCGAGAAAGGGAATCTCCACGCAGGCTATAATTTTACTATATGTTTTTGAAGTGGAGAGAAGCATCGGGCCGATGCTTTATGCTCTGTGGCTGGTCTTGTCAGAGAAAGAGAAATACTGTTTATTATTGTTGCTATGTGACTAAATGATTCTGTGTGCAAAGGTTTTTGGCCAGGATGCAAGGTGTGTTACTTTATGACAGAGATGTTGAATTTCTTGGCAGGGGAATGGCCGACACTTGCAGATGAAGTGAGCAAGGCACTGGAGAGATGCCGAGCCAAAAAGCAAGTGTATGAGAGAACTCTGAATATACAGAAACACAGTGTGTTGGGTGGCCATACATACAAAAAACTCTAACAGAGAAAGAACAATGATTAGAGATTTGCCTTGTCACTAGGCTCTGCCATATCCTTTATCCTCAACTACCTGACCTATGTATGGGTAATTTTATGTATGAATACAGGGGGAAGACTCATTCCATTTCAAGACAATTTCCAACAAGCCAAAGAGAAGTTTTAGTTATTTCTTGTGCGCTACCAAACACAAGTGATACTTGAATCTTGTGCTTTGCTTTATAGGATAGGGCAAAAGTCAAAATGCAATTAAAGATGAAGTTTAAAATGCTAATACTTTGCCTTGCCTGGTTCCTCGTTTCCCTCCACAGCAACATGCTAATCAATTTTTTTTCAATAAAACCTTTATGTTTTCATTATATACCTTATTTTAGGGCTCATCTGCACCAAATGACTTACTGATTTGTTCCTGAGATTTGTGAAGAAACTAAAGGGCTCAGAAGAAACCCACAAGCCTGGGAAAACTATGTGAAACTCATACAGATAGTGGCTTTTGTGGAAACTGAAATCAAGAGTACAGCTTTGCAAGGCAACATTTCTAACCACCACTTAAGCCCCATGCTGCATGTGTGTGTGGAGGCCTTCATTTCCTCCTCTGAAGTGATATCAACAAAATATGTAGTAAGTGTCCCTGTGGGACCTGAACCCAGAGACCGAGCACCGCAGGGCAACTGTTCTAACAACTTCACCTGCATGCTGTGTATAGAGTCCAGGCCCTTCTTTCTTCCACTATAAAAATATAAGCAGAATATGTTAATGGTCTTCTAATCCTGAATAATAACAATCGTTTAGCAGCTGTATGAATATTCTTTAAACAGGTAACTGTGATTTATAATGAGCTGATAAAATGGTATGGTCTGTCCACATGTGGATGCGTAAAGGGAAAACTAAGGCCCTGATAAGTAGTACCATGTGGGGTGAACACAAGGCCAAGACACACTATAAACAATATTACCATTTACATGTAATAAGCCAACATATTAATCCATGTGCTAGAAAAATAACAAGCGAATAGCGGTGATCTATCCCAGTACTGAGGGGATTGGGACTGTCTCTGGCTCCACAGAAACTTTACAGCCTCCGGTAAAAATAGCAACATCTCAAAAGCAAAAAAAGAAACACTGCTTTCAAAGCACTTTTACTGTGTGATGTGTCTGCTGCTATTTTTACCCAGGATTTCAGGCATTTGATATGTAGGTTCCCAGTATGTGTCGGGACACAAAAGGCTCATTCTTAATTCATATCACACAGGGAGGCTTCAATGAACCTATTATAAGGGTGGACACGAGAATAAGGAGAGCGTGCTGTGACCAGAACAGGATTCCAAGACCTGAGACTTGGCCAAAGCAAACACTGTGAGGTGCCTCTTCCTGAGCTCATCGCTTCCACGCTGACATTTATATAGGGCATGCACCCAGCTAATGGCTTAGTCTCATTCTGTCTAATGTCACCCTGCATTCAATGCGTCCAAAGGATATGGCAGAAGTAAACAACCCAATATTAAGGCATCATTCCACCTCTAGTAGAAGTTTTCTGAAGAGGCCAGTATGTTCCTGGAATGTGCAAAGATGGGAGGCAGACAAAGCACTTCACCCATAGAGGCTGCCTCTCCATAAGCCAAGGAGACCTTGCTGGAGAGTGTCAAAGAGCTGAAGCATGTAATGGGCCTTGTAGGGGAATAACAGGCAGGACAGGGAATGCAAATGAGCTGTGCATGGTTTCATAGCATGCATCACTGAGGTTCTAGGCTTGAATCCAGAGGCAACTTTTGGTGATATTTAATTGCAAGCAAGTGCTCTCTGCAGGAGTTATGTCCAGATTCTTATGTTGCCCGGTTTTTCTACAGTTATAATGGGGTTATGTTATGTGGCCATTTACTTACAAAGCTTAGTGCAGTTCTTCTTTAAAAGCAAATATTAGCCAACTGCGATCACTAAAGACCTTGCTTTCTAGACTTTACTGTGTGCTACCTTGCTATTCGTAGCTTTATACCTGCAATTTCCTGTTTAGACTAAAAACTCTTCAGAGCAAGGACTCGAGTTCCTAATGCTACTTCTCTCAAACTGCTTTTTGTTCAAGGTATGTGTCATTTTTTCCATGTGTGTGGCGTCATACACCTGGAAGTATGACTACAGTTACATTATATATTAATGCCGACAGATGTGTACTTTTCTTTTCTTTCTAAGCATATTTAATTCAAGTGATAAAGCAAAGGCTAATTAAGTGTTATTAAAGAAAGTGAATGGTTACGGTTGTTTATACAGAGAATATTTGTGGCTGTTGCGCCAAGCAGAGAACATAGTGCCATACTTGTGAGTAATGGCTGAAAGAATGCAGCAGGGAGAAAGAGCAGTAGGTGATATCCTGGGCTGGAATGATAAGCATGGCTAAAATGGAGGTTTGCTTTTTACCGCTACAAAGGTTCCTGTGCAGTGTCAGCAGTATGAGCAAGAAAGAGAACAGGGGCTCAAGCTGGGTGCTGGTGGGTGAAGGCTGGCATGGAATGATATCTCTGTGTCATAGGATTTGATATGTAGCAGAATGGTTGGACAGAGCGACAGGAAGAAAGAATGCAGAATACTAACAAATGAACATGAAATGAGATAATTCTGCAAGTACACAACAGAGTACAAATCTCCTGGCCTGCCATACCACCCATATGAGGCAAAGCTTAACCTCCCCCTGAGCTCCAGCCGACCTAATATAACTTCACTGAATAGAGACAGGAAGACACCAGGACACTCACAATAAAGACGTTAAGACATTTTTAGTAATTTGGTGTGGAGATTCTATAAGCAAGCTTGTCTCTTCAGCAGTACAGCA